CAATGCTTGGATGGTGGTTTGATCTATGAGGTCTTTCTGTGCCGTAGCCCAGAGAAGATTTGCGGCACCATCAAGAACAAGTAGAACAATATACTTGTTCTTGTGAAGTTCAACCTCACAATGATCAGCAAAAACAACATCACCAAAACATGAAGCTCTAATACCGGAGACTCTGGCTCGTGGCGGAGGTGCCACTGAAGTGTTACACACGCGGCAGTTCCTGACAACTGATTCATACTTCTCTAAAACAGAGTCAGGAAGCTTCAACATAGAAACACGCCTACGAAACTGAGTAGGACTCATATGGTAGTGCTTCACATGAAGCTTATAAAGCTCTACCTTGTCCTCCAGTCTCTGCAACATATTCCTATATGCCGGTGTCATTGCAACAACTTCACTACCAGGTAATGGGATTGAAATCCGCCTAGGCTCAAGAGCGCCATCACCTGGTTCAAGTGGTTCATGTTTATCACTTGATGGTCCTTTTGATGCTTTAGGAATTTCTACAAGTTCACCTTCTGGCCTCTCAGGTGGTTCTGAGGGAGTATACCCCTCAGGATCATCACCCTTTAAATCATTTGGAGGCTCAGATGGTTTCAACTTGTGTCTCTTCCAAAATGGATCAAAACCCTTGGATGTATAACGAAACTTTGGCGGCGCAGGCTTTTCCGCGGCACTGGATGGTACACCTTCCTTCTCTGAAGAGAAGCCTGGTTCCCTGTCCTTTGCAATGGGAACCTTCTCTGAGGAGGAGCGCACCACTGCATCGGGATCACCAATGCCACGGTGCTCAATGCCAGCCTTCCTGATCTTAAGATCTGGAATCTTGGCATCTGGTTTGAACTTAAAAATTGTTCTACCACGCCATTCATAGCCAATTTGTAGGTCCTTCCATTTTGCCTTGCGCCAATCATCTAGCTTCTTGATTTCTTCTCCTCCTTCCTTCTTCTTGATGATTGTCAATCGCAAGTCTTCCAGCAAGTCAGTGTCTACAGGACAGGACTTGGTTGCTGGGAAAAGAATCTTCCTGTAATCCTTGTGGTGACGTATCAGTTCTCTCTTGTGAACATCTACTTCCCAGTAATCAACCACAGGATATGCATGCTCAGCTTCATCTTCATCACTATTGTGATCAACAGAAATATGGCCATATTCATAGTGAGTGAAGTGAGAGTAAAAACTCTTCTCACGCCGAGCCTGCAAACGCACGTCAGACAAATACCATGCAATGTCTTGGAAGTCCAAAACAAGATGAGTACTGGCTGCAACCTTCAACTCCAAATGTTTGATACCAAGAGGCACCGATGTCAGATAAGCGTGTTGAGGTGTCAGCCTGAGTTCAAATCCTAAGTTTCTCATCTGTGGCAAGCTCATAAGCAAAGGGACTTCTCCTTCTTCCACTATGTCGAACTCTGTATTGTGGATCGCCCATGTGCGATCATACATGTAAATCACCAGTTTCTGAGAGCAAGAAGCCTTCTGAGAATTGGCAAAGTAAAACTTGCTCTTGGTAGCCTCAAAAGAGTACCATAGTCCACAATTTGGGTGACTGTCGACATAGTTGCAAAAATTCTCGACTGCACGCCTTGATCCCATAGCTCTAGTGCATCCAATGTCCAGGATTGCAATAGTTGGCGGGAAGCGATTCTCAGTCAAAAATGAAATAGCCTGCGTCTCCTTCACTTCTTCCTCAGCGCTCATAAGCGCAAAGCCATCAGGAGCACTTGTGAGCATCTCCTTTGACAAAGAGTACCTCACAGGGGCACTCATGCCATCGAAGATCGTCTCACCATTGTTGATCTTACAGTCAGCTTCATCTTGACGTGAGGTCATCATGCCTGACAGCAAGTTCACCTCACTGTCACTGACTTCAGCTGCTGTTGTCACACAATGTGCAAAGAAACCTTGGTGGCTTCCTGATGCTTGTGAAGATCTTTAAGGTGCAGGCAAAGAACGTGGCTGTTGTTGATTTGCATAATTTGCATCTTGTTTGCCATCTCCTTTATCTTTTCCCTTTCCTTTCTTGCCTTTTCTCTTGCCTTTTCCCTTTCCTTTGTGGGAAAACCATGCTTCTTCAAGCTGTTGCCAAAAGTCATTGGCATCTTCATGTTCTCCTTGAAGATAGTCATTCATATCTTCGGCAATAATGGCATCATATGCTACTTGATTTGACTCCCAAGTGTCCTCATAAGGATTCTCTTCATAATACTCTTCTGGATAAGTTGGCGATTGCTCATCAGCATAATGGCCTTTACCTCGTCTCTTTCCTCCTTTTCCTTTTCCTCGAGGTCTGAAGAATCTGCGGCCTGATCTTCCTTTGCCTTTTCCTTTTCTTCTTCCTTTTCCTTTGCCTTTTCTGGCTCTTCTTCCTTGGAATCTCCTCTGGAACCAAGAGAAATTCTGTTCATCATATACCCAAAAGACATCGTCCAGGGCATCAAGAAATCCTTCTGCTCCATCTTCTTCGTCTTCGGCCCAATAGCCATAAGTACCATCGAGTTCTCCTTCATCAAGCACTAGAAATGATCTCCTACCTCCAGCACCTGTCGGCTGCATCAAGGGATTGTCTACTGAAGTCTTTGTCGTGCAGAACATCTCAATAAAAACTGTCCTCAACTCTGTTGTGGTGTATTGCTGCAGGACCCTACCACGATGAGTCATCAAAGAAGTCAAAGTGTTCCTCTGGTCCTGAGACAAATCTGCAAGTGACAGCGTAAGTAAGGCAATGAGATTTTCTCCCAAAGGAAAGTCGTTCTGATGAAAAGTTCTCAGATTGCCATTGATAGTCTGCATGATTTCCTGAATTCTTTCTGCCGTTGGAGCTACTCCATTCATCACTGCATCAGCTTGCATCTGAGCTTGTACCTGAGGATGTGCTTGTGTGACTGGCTCCAACATGTCCACCCAACTGCTCATAAGCCTTTGGAGTAAAATCTGAAATCTTGTCATCCACTTCATCATGTCCGCTGATCCGCGATTGAAGCGCACGAATTGCATAAACCTATACAGGAATACATTGGTTGATCCTTTCACAAAATATGGTCGTAGTACTCGTTTGAAATAATCTACTCCAGCTCCTGGTGGTGGATCATTCGCCTTCAATGCATCTCTGTCTAGAACTCGTTTGTATACAGCTGCTTCTCCTTCTAATCTGTTCCTTAATGCTGGTCCTCTCTTCTCATCTTCCAGCTCGGTGATATCGCACCAATCGTCTATGGCATCCTCATAGGAAAACCATGAAGTCTTTCCATCGTAAGATGGGGGCACTTTTGTAGTGACCTGTGTTGTCATTGCTATTGCTGCTGGTTCTCTTCTCACATGCCTATTCACATAGGCTGCTGGCTCATAAGCCACATCCGCATCAGGCTCTTCCCAGTCGTCAATCCAATCCATGGCCGTTTGCCTAAAAGCAAGTCTATGCCTAGGAAAGGAGCTCACCTGGGTCTTCCAGGATCACAGCTCCGCTACCACTGAAAGAGTGACTAGGGCGTACACGGTTGAGGTGCAGACCGCTAGTGTCTTTTATGCGCAGAGTCTTATCCTCTTGTCTCTTCTTGAGCCTTATGGCAGTCAAGCATGGACACACTAGATAGGCCACTGGAGTGGAACCTGTACAAGTAGGCTCTACATTTCAGGGGGGGGCAAATGACGTCGGTTCGTGTTTGGGTCATTTCGCGTTTTCGTCAGTTCGTGGTTTCGTCGAGTCGCGTGTTCGTCGGGCGTTGTTTTTTGAGTTTGGCAGCCGGATGTCAGACAAGAGCGCGCCGCAGACACCATTTCGGGCCGCTGGTTCGCGGGAGGACCCGATTCTCGGTGCAAAAGGTAAAAGACCTTTTATGTGCTGAGATAGGCTTGCTTCGGAATGTTCGAGCAGGTTCTTTGTTGTGTTGTGTGCAGATGGTGCACTTGCGTGGTCGGCCGCTGCTTTCGAAGCGCTTGACTGTGAAACACGTCAAGCATGTGAAGAGTCAATGGACTAAGAAGGCCAATGGTCAACTCGAAGCAGATGATCTTTGGCACCCATCAGCTAGATCGGCTGTGGTTGTGGATGAAATTCATCCCGCCACAAAGCAAGAACCGGTCCAAAGGATTGGTGAACCCACGGCTGTGGAATAGAGTGTATCAGTGGGTGTATCGCCACCACACGCGAAACACCTGAGAGCGTGCCGACCACGGCTGAAAAAAGGCCGCTACAACTTTTTTTTGACTTTTGAAACGCTCGAAACGCCATTTCGTATGGGCCTGCCCACACGAAGACGGGGGGTCCGTACGGACGTGAAACCTTGTTTTTTGGTTGAGTTTTCCTCCTTTCCAGCTTTGTTCAACACAAACCCATCTATATATATATATATAGAGGGAGATGTTGGCCACATGTTGTAAGTAGATGGACACTCATCCATGGGTCTAAAACCTTGACTTGACCTCACATGTGCTGGATGCAGTTCCACCGTATTTCTTTTGGTGGCTTCAAATTCTTTCAAGAACCCCCATGCCGCGTTTTCAACAATAATGAGGTTGCCATTCCTGCATTTGAATCCTCGTTTGCTGGGATAGATATATAATGAATCCTTCCCCACCCCAATCCCATCATCTTTCATGCGGAAAAAGGCCGCTGTTTCAGGTCGAGTTTGGGCCTTTGGTGCGGCGGGAGGATCTCTTCAGCGTTTGGGTCACTTGCAGCCACTGCTCCTTCGCTCTTTGGATCTTCGGTGGGCAAATGGAGGCCCCCACGCAGCGTTCGGCGTTCGGCATGCGATTGAGCAAAAGGTGATGATCTCCACGAGGGTGAACTTACATGGCGGCCACGGACAGGGTCATGGAATCCGCTCACTTTTTCCATGTGATTCCATGTGAGTGATTCTAGGTGATTTTTGCATTAGCGGAATGGGTTGATGAAAGCAGCAGGTGTTTGGGGTTCTTCCAACCTGATTGATTTTAAAGCTCTGTTAAACCTCTCAGTCACTCCACCAGTCACCTGTCTCCAGACCATTGACTCCTCCATGGAGTTTTCTGGCTCCACAGCGGAAGTACAAGACTTCTTGACTGCACCTTGGCTTTCTCGTCATACGATCATCGAGACCCTGCCACGGAAGGGTTTCGGTCTCTGTGTTCGGAAGGGTTACCAGCGGCTGTTTGGTGTGCATGCTTGGGAGTTCGGACATGATGGAGTCAAGTGAGTCAAGAACCTTTCCCTCTCAAGTGCCTCCTTGAATCTTTGTGGCAAACTGCAAAGAGCTGCTCATTTCAACCCCGAGCCTCTCTTTCCCTTCTAGATCTGCTTGAAGTCCCCGAGTAAAGCTTAGATTGCTGCGCGCGAAGTCTTGAAGACTCACCTTGGAGCGTGGAGACCCAAACTTCAAATCTTGTTGGGCAGGTTTGAACAGTCTGGGTCCGGTCCCAAATCCAAATGCCACCCAGACTGGGTCCTACAAGGCACATGGGCACATCCCTACCCACACCCGTGCGGCCCGTGCGGATGCAAAAATCCACCTCCGAGGATCTCACCTATGTCCCCACGGATGGCTTCATCGGCACTGATCGACTGCAAGCTTTCGTGCAGAGTCAAAGGCTTCAAGCGGCCTCAGAGCAAACGCAGAGTGCGCAATTGAATATGACGATCCAAGTGCAGTTGCAGGAGCCAAGAGCCCGGCTTAGGCACTGTGGGGTTTGCATGGTGAAAAAGACACCTCTTAAATCCAGTGTTTGGTTTTCTCGTTGGAAAGTGTCTCCAGCAGGAATTGTTTGAGGGAACCATAGGGAGCCCTCACCTTTCTTGTTTGTTTTGGTTTGGATTTGTTCTTGGTTCGAAGTGGCGCAATAATGTAGTCTAGGTAGATCTGAATACCGTATGGCCAGAGTCTATGACCTTCTTCTTCAAGTCTTTGGTTCAACGCTTTCGAGGCTGCAATTCTGCAGACCGTCCTAAGACTTGTACGGACCCCCGCGAGAGGACAATAGACACACTCCCAAAGATCATGCGACCAATTCATCTCCACTGGCTCACCTGAGGCCATCCTCCACCAGGCAGGCCATCCTCCACTAGACATGCGACATCTGTAGGTCCTGGTGATAGGAGCGATGAAAGCGGGGAAACCTTGGCCCAACCGAGCCGTTGCAGAGCAACTCGCTTTCCCCAGGAGATCGTGGTGCCGCCCGCTACAATCCAAATGCCGGGGAGGTTAAACGCAACTTGGCAGAGATGTGGCTGCGGTCACAGGTCCATTTAGCGAAGCTCATGATGTTCAGAGTTGCACGTTGCACAATATGTGTTTCAGTTTACGGCAGTAGAGGCTTTGATTTCACTGTCATCAACTGGTGGACGTCTGAGGTCTTTGAAGACTCGGTGACGGATCCAAGCATCGAGATACATGACCTGAAGACTTTGGCTCCTTCAGGCGTCCCCTTGGCGAGCGCTCTGACCGAGAACGATGGGAGCAGCAGGACATGCTTGAGGGCATTGGAGCCCTACACCTGGATCAACGAGAGCCTTTCCACACAGCATTTCGGCCAAACGGATCAAATTCTGGGAACACTGCGAAGTCATGTGATTGATATGACCATTCCGCGCATGCGCGCTAGATTTTCCTCCCACAAGATTTGTTTTGATTCTGATTCATTTTGTGGCGATTGCTGAAACAAGCCTTCCATGGAACGGCAGAGGGTGCACGACGAGGTCCTTCTCTACTCCGCATCACAGGTCTAATGTGCGGCATGTAAAGCAATCCTGGCCAGAAAGCCTGTAACAGTCATGTGTTAATCTCACACCCTTTCAACAGTAAATCTCCGCCCGTCCGTCCGTCCGTCCGGCCGGCCGGCCGGCCGGCCGGGCGGTCGGTCTGTCTGTCTGTTTGTCTGTTTGTCTCTTCCTTCTAACCTTTTCCCCTTTGTCTTTGGGTTTTCGATCCGCTTGTCCTTTTGAGGCCCTGTGACCTCTGGCTTCTCATCAACTCCAACGGCACCAGTATGGAGCAACTGAGTTGTGAGGACGAAGGCTGCACGCTGCGTCCAGCGCACATGGCGGACCAATGCTTGACTTTCATCACAGGACCGGTGTCTGCGCTGCACATGGACTGGGAGCTCGTGGGCACGGCGAGGTTTTATGGGGTTGTGTGGACATGGTGAGGTCAGGAGATTGCCCCAATTGTGGGCAATCCTGTTTCGGGAGAAGCATGGCACGGCAAGAAGAAACATTTAGCTGCAGAGGTCAGACAATTTCAGCCCAGCGAAACAGCAGCAGAAGAGACACCACAATCTCAGGTGGAAAAGTCTTTTTGTTTTTGTTCAATCAATAAGGAGTTGTAGTTGATTCAAGCCTTTGTCGAAGAGAGACATGCAAAAAGTAAGTAGGTAGATCCTTTTGCTCCTGAAGCATGCTTGACCCATGCCTACGACTGAAAGAAGGCATCCGTGGGCTAGCGCTCAGGTTGCAGAGACGGCGGGTCGTCCCTCAGGTGGTTGGTCTTTAGCGCCATGCCAAAACACCTCAGCATCGAGCTATCAGAGCCAGGTCAGAGTGAGAGTGGAGGGGATCTACTGGAAGACTAGGGGCAAGGACGCTACTAGTAGCTCCTGGCATTACTAATAGTAACAAGGACGCTACTAGTAACAAAGGGCATCGCTACGAACGGAGCAAGAAGCTACTAGTAGCTCCTGGGGCCACAGGGCGGCCACAGTGTTGAAAGTAGTCGGATTCATCGCAATGAATCAGGACGTCTTCATACCTCAAAACTCAAAACGCATGGGAACATGTTGATACGTATTGATGGTGCTGGAGACTCGTAGAGCATTGAAGGGTTTCATGCGAACAGACAAGTCCATGCTCCTTGCCATTGATTGAACAAACTGTTCCTGTTATTGTGGTATCAGAACAAACCGTTTTCGCACGAAACGCATTATATTGCTCAACCACAGGCAAGGAACACAACCTTTTGGCCCACACCGACGTTGACACTCCAATGTCTCAACTGCACGGAAGACAATCATGTTGAGGGGCTTTGGTGAAAGCAACAATTATGCTATGTCCAAATGAGATGGGACTAAGTCCCAACTCATTTTGGGGCACTAGTCCTATCTCATCTGAACCTAGTATAATGGAGTGTGGACTGCATGACTCTTCTTGACAGAGCTGCACCGGTCCACAGCTCAAAGAACCGTCGGGTATTTTCTCATGTTTTTTTTCCTTGCCGAATCCACGACCGACGACACCAGCCTGATGGTAGGCCTTCGACTACACCAGCTTGGCGGGCTCCAATGGCCGATTCTGCGTGCAAACCCTGAATGGCCTGGAGGGGTGTTTTGACACCTTGGTCATGGAGGCGAACACATGGCGAGAGATGGCCACATCAGTGACCAAAAACTTCCCCTCCCCTTTCTTCGACTTGTTGCTTCTCTTACCATCATTTGTTACACAATTGTAGTAATTTTACAGTCTTGTAGTACTGCCCAGGACTTGTCTGAGAGCTTCTTTGGAATCAGTGAATGCCAATTATATAACAGGAACACACATGCAAAACCATTTTCCTCTAAGATTCCGCCAGCATCCTTTAGCACTGTCTTTCAGTGGTGTTCTTTTCAGTGCAGGTGATTTCGCAGCTGTACTATGGCCGCCCAACATACACGCCATTGGTGGTGGGAGTACCCCCGTTGAACTGCAGCGGCTTCGTGGATATGATGGCCCTGCCGGAGGAAAACCTCACTCTAAATGAGAACGTCACAGACTTCCAGTTGCTCCCTCAGTTCAAGGTCGAAGGGCAGATCTGTGCGCTTGTGTCGTGAAGTTGCAGTTGAAGATCATGGGGGCTGACATCAAACAACACGGGGGCACCACTGGGGAGGGCCATTCCGCACGGCTGTTGGAAAACCGTGTTTTAAACATTCGTGCTTGTGGTGTCTGGATGCCCAAAGGGAGCAAGTAACGAGACACCCACCCTGTGGTGGATGGGTCGCCAGACGAAGCACCAAGGTTGGCAAGAGATCGGTGCATGGGATCTCTGAGCTGCGAATACATCTTCGACCCTGTGGGCATTATCGACCCTGCTCCGGATTGTATCAAGGAACTTGTGGTTAACTACACTTGCCCCAATCATGAGATGCGACTCGGTGTATTTCGTTGCACACCATTTCTTTGTTGTACCTGTCTACTACTATTGCTCAGTTCCACTACTGTAATTTGGGGAACGCGCGGAATACCGGCAGCGCATTCAGGTTCCAGAGCAGCACGCTGGTCTATCCAGGACAGGCTGCATCCATGAGGATTCAATGCCACTTGGTATCAGAAATCATGCTCTTGATCCAGACACAAAATATATACGCCTAATCATATAGATACCTTAAACAATGGGTCATCAGGCTGTTAACAGGTCGATAGGTCATGAATGGAAAAGCATGGAATACCAGGTATATCCAGGTGTGAAAACGAGGGTGTTTCCATGGTCACGACATGACCACTCCATGTTTGGACATGATGTCTTTTCCCATCATCATGTCTGTGCCAGGCATGTCACTCGGATTCGCCATGAACTCATGGCTCAAGCGACGCACTCGCGCGCCTGAAAAGGTGTGCGTTCCCCTGGCTGCTGTCAGTTTTGAGACTGGCAGCGGAGCTGGGTCGATCCCAGCAACGCTTTTCCACTCCGTTCGCCAAGGACGCCATGGCAGCGTTCTTGGAGGCGCTGCGCTACGATGCAGCCGCCGCAGCAGCTTCCACCAGCGTGGTGGCCGATGACCAAACAGAGTCCAAGTTTGGCATCCCTCGCTTCAGCGGGGAACCCAGCGCCCTCAACGAGTACGCCTACCGCGTACGAGCTCGAGTCCAAAGAGAGTCCCACATGGATGCAGGTGAGGTCAAGAAACTTGGGCCGCTGGGGCTCAGGCTAGTTGAGGGACTTCGAGGCACCGCCTTGAAGATGGCTCAGCAGATCGAGCCATCCAAGCTCGCGACCACCGAGGCTCCTGAGATCCTGATCACCCTCTTCGAGAAGAACCTCCGGCCACGCCGTGAACAGGAGGCCAGAGAGCTCTACGCCATCGGCTCCAGAGATGGCGGCATGATGTCCCGGCAGCGTGGAGAGCCGGTTTCAAGCTATGTGCTCAGGCGCAAAACATGGTGGCGCCAGCTCCAACAGCTCGACCCGAGCATGGCGGTGAGTGAAGGGATCTTAGCAGAGCAGATCCTCCAGAACGCAGGTCTCAGTGAAGACCAGAAGCTGATGATCCGCACCACCCTACGAGGCAAGATGGAAGTCGAGCTCGTGGCTGACGAGCTGCTGAACCAACATCCTCGACTACATGAACGTGAGCGACTTCCACGACGGCATCCCGGCAGCTTCAAAGGATCATGGAGATCCAAAGGAAAAGGCTTCAGTCACAAGGCCTTTCACGTGGATGAAGAGATCTATGAAGAGTCCCCTGACTGGGAGACGGCATCCCAGTCCCTGGCAGGCTTCACCGAGGTCTTTGAGGACGACGATGAGAACACCACCTACCTCGGCTATGAGGATTCTGAGGGCAATGACCTCCTGGCGGAATGGGCCGCCTACTTCATCGACGAAGGCCTGGACATGCAGAACGAAGAAGCCTGTGCACTGGCAGCTGAGGCCATCCAACTGGAGAATGAGGCCTACTTCGTTCGAGGTCAAGCCAAAGGCAAGGGCCCCAGCGGCTTCAGCGGGTCCAGACAGTTTGAAGTCTCTGGCTCGCTTTCCTTGCAAGAGAAGCGTGCTCGCCTTCAGCAGCTCAAGAGCAAGACCGAGTGCCGCAAGTGTGGACAAAGAGGACATTGGTCTGGCGACCCACAATGTCCCAAGGGCACAGGCAAGGGCGACAGCAAGTCCAAGAAGAGCTTCTCATCCTCGACTACGGCTGCATCCGGCAAGCATGGCAAGAAGGGTTCAAAAGGTGGCGGAACTCCGAAGACCAGAGTGGTCTACTTTGCCATGCATGATGGACCTCAGGACTATGAGATTGTGAACGAAGACACATGCCTCATGGCGGTCTCCGGCGGCACTGGCTCTGGCTCTGAACCACCTTCAGAAGTGCCTACATCACGGACACCGTCTATGCAGTCGACAGCACCTGCAGGTGGGCCTTCCTCAAGTTTGAGCACCATGTTTGCAATGATGCCACCGCCCACTGCAGCATCCATGCAAGCCACTATGGCAACTCAGGAATTGGAACGAGGCTGGACAGCCGATCAGGTCCTGGACTTCATGCTCCACAACCCCGAGGACCTCTGTGTGATGTCACCTGAAGGTATCCAGACGGCCGGACAAGCTCCACGTCAGACCGGCCCTATGCATCCTCAGGCCGGCTATGGACAGCTTGACACTCCGACAAGAAATCCACCGCCCACGGCAATGCCACTTCATGTACCACCAACTCTCGTGGGCCAAGTCCTCAACACTTTGATGGACATGGAGGTTGAAGAAGAATCCCCTCCAGGAGAACCAGCTTCAGGTTCGGCAAGTACCAATGTCACTTCCTCAGCACCGGCAACGCCTCAACAGGAAGCATGCTCTCACATCCGGGTCACCAAGAAGGGCAGCAATGGATACTACCTCAAGGAGACATGTCTCGACTGTGGTCTCCTGCTCAAGAATGAGAAGAAGATGATCGTTGGCAAGAACGCCCAACCTGTTGAGGGAGCTCCAGGCTTCACCAATGCAATCACAACAGGTGCAGGTGGAGAGGATCCAATGGAATCAACTGGCGAAACACTTGCCTTGACTGCGGCAAGGTCATTCGTGGTGCATGGTCAGATCAACATGTCCCCAAGCCACCTCATCTCCGTGTCAATGAGGAGACCTGCGTGGCGCCATTGGACAGCCTGTCCATGACAACAAGCAGTTCGATTCCAAGTCGGTTCATGAGCTGCTTCGCTCTTCACTCATGATCGCCACCATCAAGATGAAGGAGAACAATGGAATCCTCAGCCTGGAAGAGATCCACAGGATCATCGATGCTGTGTCAGTGAACCTGGACACTCTCAGCTCAGAGTACACCGGCATGCCAACTATGCCCACCAGGTCAACAGCTCAAGTGCCATCGACACCAAAGGCACCACCACCGAGGGATCAGTCTGGTGTGCTCTACTTCCATGGCACTAAGACCATCACCTTCGGCAAGCACAAAGGGGCATCCATTTTGGTATGCTTGGCAAGATGAAAACTATGTTGATTGGGTCCTGAACAACGTTGATGAGGGCTCCAGTCGCGGCATGAAAGACCTGGCTCACTACTTCCGTGAGAAGAAGGCCGCTCAGGGTGAACCATGGACTCCACCACGAACACCACCGAGGGCACCTTCCTCATACCATGGATCACCAGCAGCCTATATGGCCAATGATGATGATGAACCAGGACTACACGATCCTGAAAGCCATGACCTACCAGGACTACATGATGAACCACAAGAGCCAGCGCGAGAATCTCACTTGCTCGCAATCCTGGATTCCGGATGCAACCGGACTTGTCATGGTGATCGATGGATGCAACGGTATCAACAAGCCATCGGTCCTGATGCCCCACTATGTGAACTCAGGCAATCCACTTCCAGCATCAAGGGCATCAATGGGCAAGTCAACACTTCTGGCACACGGCTACTTGAAGTGTGCTTTCAACTTGAATCCCAAGAGGACAGCTTTGCCGTTGGCACCATCGACAGCACGGAATTGTGCAACAGCGATGCACCACTGCTTCTATCCATCAAGGACCAACGCCGACTCCAGCTGCAGGTCAACCTTGGCGATGAGAACACGCCCGACAAGGTCTACAGCCGATTGCTTGGTGGCTACCTCAAGGTCACCGACCTGAATGGTCTTCTTGGATTGCACCTGCTGCCTTCTCAGATTGCGATGCTTGGCATGCACTCCAGTCAGGAGCAAATGGTGACGGACACTGATGTCGAGACCGACTATGGGTCTGAACAACCGTCTTCGCCAACGTCACCGACCTCACCCACTTCCACCAACACTGAAGTGCATATCCGACTTGATGAAGAACAACCCAAGACCTTGACCAAGAATCAGAAACGGCAGCTCGAAGAAGAACTCAATGAGCTTGGTGAGCAAGACCAAGCAATGTGGTCTCAACTTCAGTCCACTCCTCGACGTGGACGTCGCTCTGGTGTCTGCCTTCCACGTGGCTGCAAGGTCTTCCTCCTCGAGATCTTTGCAGGAGCAGCGATGCTGAGCTCTATCGCTGCCAATCAAGGACTACCAGGATCCATGCTGGAGTACCAGTTGTTGCTTCGGAAACCTCATTGCGCCCAGCTTCCAGCACCGAGATCTACACGAAACGACTTTTGGAACTACGTCCATCGAGGAGGCGCATGAGGGAAGCAATTCATGAAGAGGAACGTGGCCGTGAAAACATCCCCTTCTCTGATGACTACAGGCTTCGCAATTGGGGAGAAAGCCAACCAGGATACATTGAAGTTCCTGGAGGACAAGGGCCACCTGATGATGAAGAAACTCCACAAGAGGAGTACACACCATCTGAGCCGCCAGATCACATGCGTGTGATCCATGAAGAAGAAGAAACTCCTCCGCTACCAGAAGACACACCTCCGCTACCACAAGCAGAGCAAGCAATGCCAGAACGGCGAACCACGGAACCAGAGATCGAGATGATCCCATCGACCGTGCCCAATACACCGGTGCAAGCAGCCACAGCAGCATCAACACCACTGCAGCAAGCAATGTATCGAAACCTCGATACTCTGGATGGTCATCCACAGACCATCAGGCCACCACCAGGCCTTTCCAGACAGGAGCGATCCCGCTCACCTGTCAGAGAAGCACATAACGTCCCTGCACCAAGAAGCTCAGAAGACGGCCTCTTTGCACTTGGCCGCGTGAAGCAAGAAGAAGAATGGCATCTCCACTGCATGTTGGCCAAGCGCTTCAACAAGAAGAAGCGCCAAGTGGGTGCAGGAGCTGAGATCAACTATGACAAGGCCTCTCCTGAAGTGAAGAAAGCCCTGGACAGCACCCGTGGCAAAGAATGGAACAACTGGAAGCAGTTTGATGCTGTCTTTGTGGTCCCTCCTGATGAGAAGGAGAAGTTCCTGTCCGACCACCCAGAGGCTGTGATTCTGCCGACCCGTTGGGTTGATGTGAACAAGGCAGAACAACATGAAGAACCTCGCTGGAAGAGCAGATTGGTCGTGCGAGGTGATCTTGAGAAGAACAATGACCTCCGCACTGATTCGCCCACGACATCACAGCTGATCCTCCAGATGATCATCAGCTTAGCGGCAGCCACTGGCACAAGACTCCGGGCTGGAGACATCAGTGCCGCTTTCCTCCAAGGCACTGGCATCACCACGTGTCCTGGCTATGTCGCAACCCAAGGGAGGCATCCCAGACCCAGATGTTCAACCTGGGAGTCTGCTGATCGCCAAGAAGAGCGTCTATGGCACCAGAGATGCTCCAAGAGGATTTTGGAAAGCCCTTCATGACACCCTGCTCCGCAATGGTCTGAAGCCCATCTCACTTGAGACCTCCGCCTACTACCTGCCAGGCGAAAAAGGACAAGTTGCAGGGTTCTTGGGCTGTCACGTTGATGATTTGCTGTGGGCCGGATCAGAGGCCACGCAGAAGACGACGGAAGCAGTCCAAGCTGAGTTCAAGTTTGGCCTCGTGGAAAGTGATGAATTGAAGTACTGCGGAAGCATCATCCACCAAGGGAAAGATGGCATCACCATCACCTGTCCCAGCGTCCTGGATCGGACCAAGCCGATCTTCCTCAATCCACAGAGGCGCAAGCAGCTTGGAGAGATGGCAACACCGGCTGAAATCAGCCAGCTGCGGTCAGTTGTGGGCAGCTTAAGTTGGCTCGCTCGAGTCTGCCGACCTGACCTGAGTTTCCAGGTCAACCAACTTCAAGCCCGACAACAAGCAGCTCAAGTCAAGCATCTCATCGATGCCAATAAGCTCCTCCATCATGCACTACAAGACCGTGACAAGGGCATCTTCTATGCCAAAGGAGCTATGAAGTTTGAGAGCGCCATCATCCTCAGCATCAACGATGCATCGCACGCAGCAAGCGTGGAGGCCATCGGAGAAGGAGTTGTGGCGGGACACCGATCCCAATCTGGACGCCTGCTAGCTCTGGCAGACCCTTCCTTCGCCACCACTGGAAAGGGCTCAGTCTACCTCCTTGAATGGCACTCCAACACCATCCGGCGTGTTTGCCGGAGTACCCTCCAGGCCGAGACGATGAGTCTTCAATTGGGCTCCGAAGAGTCAGAACATGTGCGGCAGATCCTCTACGAGATCAAGAATGAAGCCGCAGAGACGCCCAAGGCCGACCGGTACACGAGGGCAATGGATTCCACCACAAGCCTGTGGCTCACTGATTGCCGCAGCCTGAGTGATCACCTGACCAACTGTTCAGGTGGAGAAGTCAGCGACAAGCGGTTGGCGATTGACCTTACAAGTCTCCGCCAAGATGTGTGGAGGCGCGCTGGAGAGCCGGTCGGAAACCCCACCTACACCAACTCACTGCCTGATGACGCCAGCACCGTGGTTCGCTGGATCTCGACCAAAACGATGGTCGCAGATGGCTTGACAAAAGCCATGAGAGCTGAGCAGCTGGATGAGTTGATGAAGAACGGCCAGCTCCAAGTGGAATTCCAAAGCCCGAGTGCCACACCTGTAAAACAATACGGGTGTGAAAACGAGGGTGTTTCCATGGTCACGACATGACCACTCCATGTTTGGACATGATGTCTTTTCCCATCATCATGTCTGTGCCAGGCATGTCACTCGGATTCGCCATGAACTCATGGCTCAAGCGACGCACTCGCGCGCCTGAAAAGGTGTGCGTTCCCCTGGCTGCTGTCAGTTTTGAGACAGGTATATCCAGGTGTCTTCGGGTCTTTCCTTCGATGTCCAGGTCCCGTGACCTTCTTGCCTTCGGTGGAGCCGCTCGCGGTGCATGGTTCCTTGGGATCGGGCAGCTTTCTGCTGCACAGCAGCATCGACATGCGGCGGCTGCGGCAGTTGACCAGTTGCCCCAGCTCCTGGCGTGCCTCGGATTCACCAGATTGCCTTGGTGCACTTGGGGCATACATTTCTTGATTTCTAGAAGGATCTGTTGATATGAGTGGCAAGAGGTGGTGAGCAGACAGCTGCTGAGCATGATGAGCATGTGCTGCACGCAGTGTTTGTTTCAACATGTCTTTAATAGCATAGAACTTTGCTGAACCTTGCCCTTAAAGACACTCACTCACGAGTTTGTACACCCCTTTGGATGAGAATGATGAAAACTTGGAGATGTAGATCCACCGTGACACCCCCTGGAAGGCGGCCGTTGCCGTCTTTATCCCACGCCTTGCGGCGGAGAAAAAACCCTGGCGGCCCACCGGATCGAGGCCCAGAGATCAACGCCACCCTTCCCATGGAATCCTTTGAGACCCTGGTGGACGGCGGCCGGAGCTCAGAGTTTTGTATCATAGGAGCGGGTTTTTCCAAGCGAGCGAAAGCATTCAACGTTCCAAGAAAAGGGATGGGATTCAACGTTCCATGATAATTAGAAGGGGGCTTTTCCATGTCTCTTTTGGGGGTTTCGAGTGAGGAGCTCCGGTGGCCTTGTCGGAATTCGCTCAGCACCTTCGCTACTTACCTGCTAGCCACTGGTCTGGCAGTGAGCCCGTGCGGCTCATGCTCACCGCTGCTGACGACCCCTCAGTGGTCCATGGCACTGCCGAAAGCAGCTGGGCAAACATAACATTGGGAAGACAGGAAGAGAACATGGGAAGATGTATGCAAATGAGGATTCATCAGGTCATCATAAAAGCACCGAAGCATTGTTTGACCTGCATTGGGGCGAGCTTTAGCAGCTTTTTGCTGCAAAACCATTTGGAAGGCCGACGAGGTTTCTTGCGCTGAGGCTGGGCCGTGGTCGAGCGTAAGAACGATCATCCCAACATCACGGCCCATCAGTTGGAGTTTCAGGCGACTGGGTTTGACTTGACTGGGACCGCCTTGGGGTGGATATCGTAAATCTTGTGGACGATCTCAGTTGCTGTGATGTTTTCCTTTGTTCTTGAACATTTGCAATCACACCTAACTACAAAGCAAAGTTCTTTGGCTTGGTACTGTTCCTAAGACAGCAGACTGCCTTGGAGGCACCTGCATTCTCTCAAGCCCCCCACCTCCGCCTCCACTTGGTGCGGTCCCAAAAGGCACTTGGGCAGACCAGGTGCGGATCGGCGAGTCGCTCCTGCTCTCGGGGATCAACATCAGCGACGCCGACATGGGCGATGGGACCAAGTGGATGACGCTCTTAGACACTTGGAGCTAAACACATCGACGCTCTAAGCACAGAGAGTTCGTTTTTAGAGAGTTCGTTTTTCGAGAGTTCGTTTATGGTGATCAATTCGATGAAGAAATTCAGGTGAAGATGGTGAAGATGCGTAGAAACCAGATACGTTTTGTTGGACAGACTCACGCATTATCCAGAGTACACAAAGCCCACTGGCAAGGGTTAACACCAGCATGTCTGGAGTATAGCGGGCTGCATGTGGGATTTGTTGTTTCTGTTGTACATGATTGGTTGATATTGGTTGCAGATGGACATGGGGAGCTTCAAATGAACTTTGACCCGTCCAATCCCATGTTGCCACGTCGACCAAGCATCGACCATGGATGAAAAACGCGAAGTGCGGAGGGTGGACTCAATCTCCGGGATTGATCGAAAGGAGGATTCAAATCCCCTAGATGTATGAAGTTTGACGACAGACAGAGCCTCAGAACAAAAACATCCACTTCATCCAACGACAGCGAGGTTATCTTTTCAGAGCTTCGTGACTTCAGGTGGCCACTTCGATTGGTCGCTTGTACTTGGATCCGTCCTTCCTCCTGGCGCCTCTGGGCACCTTGGAGCCACTGCAAGGTCGCTTGGATGGCGACTTCGCGCTCCGCGTGCGTGGCAGCGGTCACGACCTGCAAGCCTTTGTGGACAATCTGAGATTTGCTTCGGAGGCGGGAGGGTTTTGGCTCGAACACCCGGACGTTCGCCAATCTGGGGAATTCCGGAGCTCTTCTTTGAACAAAAACAAAGATGATGCAAACCAGGGATGTTGGATGAGGGACATTTCTTTCAAGGTCACCTCATGATAGGCAAGTGGTTCAGGGGCGGGTATTGACTTGGCCCAGAACAGTGGATTCATGTAAGCCGCTTGCTGTGTTGTTTATCAAAAAATGCAACTATGCAACTGCTTGTCAGCTGATAACACTTGTAGGGATGTTTCTGTGAAGAAATAATGGAAAGGATTTTGTTTGTATCAGCCTAGCAGCCTGAGTTCTTCCCCCGAATCCACCCTCTGTTGCCAAAGGCACCAGCCAAGCCGAGCCTGGCCACACGCCCGCTGAATGCGTCAGACACTTGGAATGCTCGGAGCCACGGGCATTTGGGTCAAGAGATTCTTCTCTCCCTCTGACTTTGGGATTGCCACGTGAGGTGTTGAGTTGTGGAGAGCTGAAACCCTCACCCGAGAGACAATCGCTTCCAGGATCCCCAAGCATCACTACACGTTTTCTCCAAATTCTTCATCAAGACCAGGGTCTGGTGACGGTAAGACCGCACACCGTACCTCTTTTCTTTTTGCTCGATTGAAGTAAGGGACTGGAATTGACCCTCATCCGCTGCACCAATGACATCTGTTCCTGAATAGCCGAACAGCCCCGCTTCTCTTGGAGTTTAGAGAAGCAATCTCTAATCAATCCTCCTTTCTCCACAAGCTCCGAACTCTCCCACACATGTTCTTTTGCTTTTGCGTTTCGTTTTCGCCCGAGGAGACGGAGGCGATCATCTCCTACGTGCTTTCAGACACCATCACCCCACAGGCAGGTGCTCTGCGGAGGCACCAGGTGGCTGGGAAGGTGGTGGATCCCGAGACGGATGAGCCGGTTCAGGGGGTCGAAGTGGTGCTTATCGCACAGGACCTGGCAGGTCAGATCTAAAAAGAAACTGGAACACTTCGAAGTAGGTTGAAACGTTTCTCTCTGTTTGGAGAGGATGTGGAGTGCTTGGATTTTAGTTCGACTCTTGAAATCATAGTTCCCACTTTGCGGTTCTTTTTTGGCAAATTAATATTCACTACTTCACCATACTTCACCATACTTCACCACTGTTGCTTTTTTTGACATCGTGCAGTTCTGGGTCAAGGGGATCGATCCCCTCAGGACACCTGGCATGACTATCTGGGTTACAATCTTGCCACTGGCTGCAGCCGGGAGCTTTTGGGCTGGACTGTGGCGGATTGCAAGTCCTATGCCGAGCAGCAGGGGCATCCGGGATTCACCTACGGCTTGTCCAGCACTGGAGGAGCGCAAGCGTGTTGCTTCAAGAGCGAAGATGTGGACTTGATCCTCATGAACTTGGTGGCTTGGTCCTCTTGAATCCGCTGAGAAGAGAGAAGACAAATGAAGAGAGAAGAGATGCTTCTTTTACTGAACCAATTGCTTCAAATCACTTTGCATGCTTCGCTTCCTGAACCAATTGCTTCCGAGCGGTCATCATCAGATTTACTCTTTTATGTGGTATGATCGTTTGCTGCCTTGTGCTGTTTCACTGTCCCGAAGCACTCCTCCTTGCGTTCTTGCCGTAGGTGGCTGACTTGAACGTGAACGTCTACATCTTTCAGCCCGGTGGCTACTTCGTGCGGACCACGACTTCAGCCTTGGGGATGTACACAGCCTTAATGCCCACAGGGCCGGCAGACATTTACTTTACCAAAGCATTGAGGAACACGCGGAACCTGAGCATCGTGGTGACCGGGAATGCGCTTTGCGATAAAGACTCCACAGCAGGTGTTGGCACTGCTTAGGGCCAGGGGCCTTCATGAAAAGGCACGAATACAGTCATGTAGTCGACAGTATGTGACGCAGTGCTTGGCACGCGCTTGACTGGAAACTCGTAAAAAGACCGGTTACTGTATGCAAGAAATGCTATGGCTTAGAACACATTTCTAGCATCAGCAAGCGCATCACTAACACGTTCATACCAGGCATCGTTTGAATTCATTGTGGATTTTAGACAAGATCACAAAAGGTTGAACATAAACATAAATATGCTGGAGCAAGAAGGCTCCCTCCATGGCTAAAGGCGCTAAGCGGGTGAATTTGAGCTTTCTTTGCGGTGCTTTTGCTGAAGAGTGGGGGCCCCCACGTGCTCAGAGCGACCCAGGTGAATGACAACATCCAAGTGGGTGGTGCTGCAGACATCTATCTGCCAGCCTTAAATGTGGTTACCATCTGGCGCTTTGAGGTCGATTGGATTTCCACCGCCCCAGTGGACTTGGATGCTCATGTATCTTGTTCGAATGCCAAAGCATCGTAGGGGGCCACGATGAATCGGCTCACAGTCGAACAACAGGTCTTTCCTCCCGCTTTACACATGACAGAAGCTCTCAATCGAGGGATTTGCGGTGTGCTCTTTGTTAGATCCTTCGTCCATTCCTGCTCCAGCTTTTGTGACACAGAGGTCTGGCGTTACATAGGAAAGCGAAGACCAACCCAATTGATCATTGATAGCTAAAAACAAATGCCCTTGTAGGAGTTTGTCCAATCCCCATATCAGATGCAATTCCTGAGATTTTGCCTCGGCATGGTCAGGGCTAGTCGTGGGCAAGGGACATGTATGTTGCTGAAATATAGTTGGTTGGCGCAGACCTTGATCATCGGTTCCTCATGGCGACAAAGCTAGGCAAATCGTATCAACTCTGCCAATTTCTAGTCCATTGCCTTCAATTGGTTGGCCAGTTGGAGGGGCAGCCCATTGGTCAAAACTGGGCTTGCCACCCCACTGTGGACATTTCCTGCCTCAAGGCCTTTGATGCCTGGAACTGCCACGTGTACTTTGCCAATCGGCTCTGTCAGCACGATGGGAGCCACGGCCTCACAGTGACGCTCACACGTTCCAGCCACTTGGGGAAGAAATGGTGACGAGTTGACCGGAAGTCGTGGGGGAGAGGAGCCTGAGAAAGGTCTGGGTGTGAGGAAAGACTGATGCTAACACGACTCTCTGGCAACATAGCGCACTGCGCACCTTTCCGTACATTTTTCTCTCCGAACAGTTTCGACAACGCACATTTTCTGGCAGTTTCGAGGCAAAGGAGGCTATTCGATATAACATCGACGTCTCACAGAAAAACATGATTCATGTGGCAAGATGAACTGGAAACAGCTCCAACTCACTCAAGAAGAAACCTACTTGACCACCCTCTCGCAATCTATCTCTGCATCGTCAGCGCTTTCTTTGCTTCCGTCTTTCCTCCTTTCCTTCAACTGTCTTCTCGTTTCCTTCCTTCCTTCCGTCGTCCGTCCGTCTGTCCTTCCTTCCGCACTTCCTTCCTTCTGCACTTTCTTCTTTTCTCTTTTCTTGCTTTCACCAGGGACTGTTGCGGGTTGCGGATTTTGGGCCCCTTCATTGACTTGCATACTATAACTCTTTTCAAGTGTAATCCGCAACCCGCAACCAATCTTGTCTGCAATGCTCCTTGCCATCATCTGAACATAAGACATTAAACAGAGCCAAAACAAACAAACAAATCGGCCTCCCTTTGTCTTTTATTTTCTCTTTTCATTTCTATTTTCTGTTTTTTTTCTTGTGTTGTCTTTTCATGTCTTTTCTTATCTTTCGTTTCGTTTTGTTTCTTTGCTTCCTTCCTTTTTTATCTGCCTTTCTGTATTTTTTGTGTTTCTTTCTATATCCACTCATCCATCTCAGGTTTCTCTCACTAAGTTGCAATGCGACCTAGCTCCGTTGTTTGCTGCCAGTGTTGGTTGTCGTCATTTGTTGTTGTTGGCAGCGGCCCTCCAACAATTTTCTTCCTCCGCAATTTGAAGGTTTTATCTTGGGGAGGGTGTCGGCGTCAGCAGCTCCGCTGCATCGTGACCGATTCAGGCCGTGATCTCCTCATTGGCAAGGAGATCATCACTGCACCCTAACTTCAATTCGGAGGGTGGAAGGCTTCAACACCATGATTCAAGCCAAGGGAGGGTGTACTCGAACCACCCACGGCTGTTTTGGCCGTTTGGGCTGATGCGGTTGCCTTGTCAGCTTCCCATTTGACCACTTCCTCGCGGTTGGTCACATGAGCAGTATTGAAGACCAGCAAAGGTAGCGACATCCATATCTCTTTTGGGTGCTTGTTATGGACACACACTTAGGTAAAGGTTCATTCAGTTCCATAATCCACGAGGAAGGAATGAGGGAACAGCAAGGTGGCGGAGTCAGCAAAACAGAAAGGCTTTAACAACTTGTTTCGCATTAGCCCTTTACAACTAGTTACTGAATACTTAACGGACTTGAGTTATTGCCGTGCAATAGTTAGGGAGCGAGACCGCCCGGGTAGAGTAGACTAGAACAGGGACAACAGAAGGAAAGGCACCGACACACAAGTGTGTCGAGTACCATTTCCTTCTGTTACCCTAATTAGAACTGCAGGTACGTTTACACCCTCACCAGTGCTCTTCGGTGGCCATCCACCACTGGTGAGAGGGATGGCCCCCTGCAGATTGTATTTTAACATTGAACTCCTGGTACGGAGTGCGACGCACACACGCACACACACTTATGGATATGCGTGCGGACTGATAGCGGCGCCACACGCCGGCCTAGGTTAAAAAAGGAGCCTGAGTAAAACGAGGCACAAAAGTTGGAGGCCATCGCTCTTAGGTTAGAGGCCATCGAAGGCAGGTTGAGAGGCCATCGCTAGTAAGTTGGTGACGAAAAACAAGACAGCAAAGCAGTCAAGACAGTCAAAGTTGGAGGTCCTCTCACCTAGGTTGGAGGCCATCGAAAGCAGGTTGAGGGGCCATCGCTAGTAAGTTGGTGACAAGAACCAAAACTGCAAGCCGTCAAAGTTGGGGGTCTTCGCTCTTAGGTTGGAGGCCGTCGAAAGCAGGTTGGGGGCCAACGCTGGGAGGTTGGTAACAAGAAGCACAAAAAGCACAAGAAACACAAGACAGCAAAGTTAGGGGCCAATCTAGTGGGTGGAGGCCAAAGTTCAGGTTAAAGAACCCCTTACAAAGCTGGGAGGCCTACCTGCAAACCTGTAGAGTAGTCTAGAGGAAAACAGAAGGAAAGGCACCGACGCACAAGTGTGTCGAGTACCATTTCCTCCTGTGTTCCTAAATAGGGGAACAGGTACGGAAGTTTGCGTCCAAACTTTCATCCAGTCGATTTCCATAGCTTCATTGGCGTGACTAGGAAATCGACCGTCACGCCCCCTGTTCCAAACCTAAAGGTTCCCTTTGATTCCAAGGGTTACACACACACACGCGCCTCCCCGAAGGGAGGCATGTGTGGCCTCCATCCTGCCCGGAAAGGAGGCAAGGCACATGTGCGCGCAAAAGGGACAGATGAAAATGAAAAGGACGAGACAGACAAAGGTGTGTGTGGTTGCCGATGAAGAAGAACCAAGTGAAGAGGGACAACCGATGAACCAAACCTCATTGTAACGAACCTGGGCCACCTGAACCTCGTTGTAAGTAGAGTACGCGTGCGTGTATGTGCAAACTAAGGTCCGGACGATAGTATGCGCAAGAGAAAGAAAGGATGAGGATGAAGAGACATGAAGACAGAAAGACATGAAAGAAAAGAAGGAAAAACGTCTGTGGGGGCCGATGAAAGGGGAACCAAATGAACGGGGACAAACCGATGACAGTCCAAACCTCATTAGAAAAACCTGTTGCAAAGTTCAGGTTAAAGAACCCCTGACAAAGTTGGGAGGCCTACCTTCAAACCTGTAGAGTAGTCTAGAGGAAAACAGAAGGAAAGGCGCCGACACACAAGTGTGTCGAGTACCATTTCCTCCTGTTTTCCTAAATAGGGGAACAGGTACGGAAGTTTGCGTCCAAGCTTCCATCCAGTCGATTTCCACAGCTTCATTGGCGTGACTGGGAAATCGACCGTCACGCCCCCTGTTCCAAGCCTAAAGGTTCCCTTTGATTCCAAGGGTTACACACCACCAAACTTACAAACATGAGGACAAACCGCTCAATGGTGTTGAACTTGGACTGGCAACCTCGTGTGTGCAGGATTCTCACTCACGTGCAGGCAGTAACCACTAGCATGGCTCATGTTCTGCGTTGAAGCACACCTGCCCAGTCCTATAGCTCTGTGAGGACCCCTTCAACCCACAAGAAACATCCACAGTTGTGCCTGCAGAGGCTCGGCTCATTCGCCCTAGGTCCTTCCTAAGGGGTAGTCACTGGATAAGAGCAGATTTGATGCGATCTCACAGTAGCGGCTTGGCTGAGGTCCACCAATGGCCATGTGACAGTACCCAAGCGACGATCGGAGGATATCGAGACATTTGGAGCTGTTCCTTGCAGAGATTTTGAATCGGGATTGCTGTGTTGGTGCGGGTCAAGCACTCCTGGCTCGCAGATGACTTCTTAGAAAGGGAGAGTGGTTTCCGGCTTTGGACCCACAGCCACAGTATGTTTTGGCGGGCACTGCTGGCAGGTTTTCAAGGACATTGTGGTACGAGGCCAGCCATGCTTTGAGTGCTTGAACCCCTGAAGCCTTTGCTCTTTGCTAAAATCCCGTGATCTCTTGAAAATCTGTCTACAGCGCAAGAATTGGAAGGCATACAGTAGTTGGATGAAAATTGGCCACAATCCGCACCTCTTTACCATACCAACCTCCAGTTCCTTTCCACCAATCACTAGCGGCAACAAAAACATGTTTCCCCAGTTTTTTCATATTTTTCCTTTGTTTCGGAATATAGGAAACCCTTGTGATACAAGGTCCCAGAATAGGTTTGTGTTGGATTGGTTGGTATTTCTTATATTTCATAAATATGTTTTCCAATTTTGCTCAAGGGCTTTGATTCTGAGGCTTGGCCTACTTTTGGGTGCAGATTTTTTCTCTCCATACCTTCGCTGACGTTCAGGGCAAGGTGCCTTGGCCAAGCCATCAAAGTGTGTTCCAAATTTGTAACTCCATACCGTGTAACCGAACCTGTATCATCAGATTCCATCTTGTCAAAGTCAGAAGTGATACAGATCTTGTCACACAGCTCGCTGATCTTGAGCTCGCCTAGCTTGACTTGCCTAGGTGAGCATTTTCCGTCAAAGCATCTTGGTACAAGAGGTTCAGCTTCCTGCTGACAATGCTGCGAATGACTTCTGGGTGGGCTTTGTCCTGGATTGGGACACTAGTGCAGTACCTCGGCCGTCACACAAGCAAATGATGGTTCGAACTCAATGACTCAATGTTTACCTCGATTTCCCACTCACATCCGAATGCATTGTTTTCAATGACCTGTGAGGCCGGTAAAAAAGAGCCACAAAGCAGACCAGTGGTGAGACCTGAGGTTTACCTCTCCGCCAATGAGACTGGAACCTCCCAGTTGGCCGAGACGTTCCTGGGTGGCCGCTACGAGCTGCCACCCGTGCGCCAGGTGCGCCGCCTTGAGGACTGGGAGGTTCTTACAGGTGTCTAGCAACACGTGCATCGCTACTAGTAACAAGAAGCTACTAGTAACAAGTGCCTTACTAGTAGTAACAAGAAGCTATTAGAATTAAATAAGCTACTAGTAACAAGTGCCTTACTAGTAGTAACAAGTGCCTTACTAGTAGTAACAAGTACCTTACTAGTAGTAACAAGTACCTTACTAGTAGTAACAAGTGCCTTACTAGTAGTAACAAGTGCCTTA